AAAAAGTTTTACATATGTATTTTTGATCCTCACATATTTGTTTTCCGTTTAAAACCTCTGATCCTGCAAACACAACCCGCTTTCTGTGCACGGATCGCTGTGCATTCGTGTGTGGGTTTTTGAGACTCCCCTGACGGTCACCAGATTCGAGGACACCTCCACTCTCAGTACATTGCCACTTTCCGAACAAGAAATGCACGCAAATACAAGCTTTTATATTGTTAAGGTACAGTGCCACTTCCCGTGGGTGCTAGACAGTGAACTGTCAACGGGGGGAGCCTCGCTGCGGAGAAACGGTGGACCTCTGTCGCCTGTCAAAGCAACTTCAGATGGCCAGTCCGCCTCTGCCGGTACCAAGGTGGGTCGATCGGAGAGGCCAGACCGGCCCACTTCGGTACGTCCCGATGGCCAGTCCGCGACTGCTTCGGCATACAGTATAAGTGTTGCACGGCCAGATACGACTCGAGAAGCTGACTCAGATAAATGAGGCGAGTAAACAGCTGACAGCCGGAAAGTCCTTCTGTGACTGTGTTCATGTGTGTGAGTTAGGGGTGTAACGGTATCCGTATTCGTCCCGTACCGTCACGGTTCGGACGGCACGGTTCGGACGGCACGGTTCGGCACATGCAGTCACACGGCGAATGCGCCTTTTTTTACGAGTGGGAAAAAAGTCTGTCACTCAGGGCAGTATTATACTATATATAATCCAGGGGGCGGTATTGCGCCTAAAAACCAGCCGCCCGTAAATAACAAATGAAGAACAAGAACAAAACACAACAAAACGAACACAATACATGAAGAAGAAAAGTTAGTTGCTACGGCAAGTTCACACAACACACAGGAGCTAGAAGACCCACCTGCTTCTTTTAAATCAGGTGTGTGGGAACATTTCGGGTTCCCTGTGGACTACAGCAATGATGGGGTGCGAGTTGTGGATCGGACGAGGACGGTGTGTTGGCGTTGTTCTACAGCGGTGCGGTATGCTAGTGGTAACACGTCAAACATGCTCAATCACATCCGAGTCAGTCTCAGTCCCCAGCTAGAGGGTTTTCTCGACGGCAGGTGACATAGTTACCGCCAACAGATCTGCCCTCACTACTGACAACGTAGACAAACTCATATTTTTGAAGAAAAACTTGAAAATAGAGTAAAGCTTGAGTACCTTTATCTAGGCCAGTGGTTCTCAAAGTGGGGGGCGCGAGAGGACCCCTGTCATGCGAGAGGCATGACAGGGGTGGCGCGAGAGACCAGGAGAAAAAATGGTTATTAAAAAAAAATAATTAAAAAGATTTTAAATTAAAAAAAATCATATTTTGAAAAATGATTGATTCGAAAATAATATGATACAGTACAGTACTATTACGTCTGGGTGTCTGTGTTTCATTAAAGCTCAGCTCTGTGTGTGAGTGGAACGAGCCATTTTGTGTGTGTGCGTGAGCGAGAGAGAGAGAGAGCGCACCGGTACCGGAGATCGTTGTTGTTAGCTTCTGGTGCTAGCGAGCTACGCTAACGGATATAAGGAGTTTTTTCAACAACAAAGTGGAGGAGAGTCCTCTCCTGTCAGACTGAGAGACTCAGTGAGCTAAAGGACTCTCTCAGTGTATCTCAGTGGGTCTCAAACGTTTTGGTCACCATTAATATAAATAAATTAAAAACAATTATGAAATACTACATGACATTAAAAAATGTATAACGTTTAAAAGGGGAGTGATTTGTAAAATATCCATAAAGAAATAGTAAATCTGTTTACAGTTCTGTGTTGAGAGATGTATCCATACTGTAGATCTCTTCATTTTGCTCTCAAAGTGCACCAGATTGATGCTTTTAACTTCAATATTTAAAAATAAATCTTCCCGGGGGAGCTTGCCCCCGGACCCCCCTATGTGAGGTCCACACACCACCTATAAAAATAGCACTTTACCCCTGCTTACACCTATATGCCGTGAGCTGATTATTGAGCCTTCATTGTAACAGTTGCGGGTACATTGTGTATTTGCGTGGGGAGTGTTGCAGAAGAACATTCCACTGTAGCGCCCGGTACATTAATGGGAAACCCTAAATGTTTGAGCACCCTCTATGAAACGTCAAGCTACCCCACAGCACCCCCAAAATAAATCTTTGGCGCCGCCACTGAGCCTGACTATTTGTGTTGAGGGGGGCCCGACTTTTTTTTTTCTCCAAAGGGGGGGCCTGACGGAAAAAGTTTGAGAACCACTGATCTAGGCATAATGGCCTCACACACTCACAAGTTAATTACACAGTTAGACATTGCTCCTAAAGGTAGGCTACAGATTTTATTTTGTTTTATATTTATCATTGTATTTAGTTTATATTTTGACATCAGGAGATGTTATACAGTTCTGTATTGCCTTTTATTGATTGTGATTGAAACACTTTCTTATTGTTTATTTTTAATATTTTCAAGACATTCTTTTTAGTTGTACAGCTTATTTAACCTTTTTGTTTGACATCAGCCATTATAAATAATATGGCCATCTGAGTGTGTGTGTTACTGTTTGTGGTTTGTTTTTAACTGTGTAATACAGTTAATGATTCAACATGTTAGAGTTCCTTATTTTCATACCAAAACTTGCACTACTGTTAAAAATAAATAACAGCAAAAACAATTATGCATTTGGGACTTTTTTTTGCTTTTCCTTGTTGTACCTAACCCGTACCGAACCGTGACCCCCAAATCGAGGTATGAACCGAACCGTGACATCTGTGAACCGTTACACCCCTAGTGTGAGTCAATTAAAGCATTCCTTTGGTAAGGACAGGCTCATTGTAACCAATACAAACAGAGTTAAAACTACAGGAATAAGACTCACATTTTAACTTTCCAGAATTCAGCCCTTGTGCCGCGTAACAGTAACCCCCAGTTTCCACCGGGTCCGTCTGCGTCGCGTTACGGCTGCGCCGCTGCATTCGTAAAGATCGCAGCCACTCTAGTCAATTGGTGCTATTCCACCACACGCGGCGCGTTACGGCTCAGAAGCGTCCCAGAAGCGTCTCGGCACAGGGCAACTCTAAAATTAGGATGAATCCTATTTTTACGCGACGTTTATAACTGCAATATTATTATTATTATTAACTTTGTCTGTACAAAGTAGGCTGTCCAGGAAATACGCCCAAATCAACAAAAACTGCGAGCCGGCAGGCAAGATGCTCCGCTTCTGAAATGCTTCTGAAACGCGCCCGGTGGGTTATGACGCTAGAGGACATCGGACCAAAACCGCGGCGCTGCCGTAACACGGCGCAGACGGACCCGGTGGAAACTAGACAGTAAGAGTGCCACATGGTGAATCATTCAGATTTACAAGCTGCAAACGATCTGAACATCAACACGCTCTGATTCCTTACTCAGTTGAATCACACCAAGCAATGCAATACCACGGCAACTGTTTCTACAGTTTATATTTAAGAAACGTTGGCCGAATAAGATAGAAAAAACACACCAGACCAGTTCTCCGCCTTTTTTTGTCTAATCTTCTTTCCGTCATGTGTTTATTTCGATATCATGTAACGACAAAAACCATGCTAACATCTTGGACGGTAGTTATTGAAAATAAATGTAACGGCGCGATAAACACGAAGATATCATGTGACGACAAAAACCATCCCATGAAATCCTGATGGTGCGATGACAAGGGATTTTCAGCATGACTACCTTGGCAACTGCCTTGAGTGAAATGTTAATATGCCATGCTAACAAGGTGCCAGTGTGTGTGTGTTATCTAGTTACAGAAAGGCTGGTGGTTGGGAGTTGGAGATACGCTAGTCGAGGACGGTCACTGCAGCTGTTGGGCTTATTAAGAATTCATGGTCAACATGGTAACGCTCTATACAAAGGAGGTCGGTGACAGGAATCTGAACAATGTTTAACCACTACTGTTACAAACAGTGGTGAAATCACACTGGATATCTGTAAAAAGAAATACAAGCCTCGCAAAGTTGAGATTTGCAAGAGAGGAATGAGTATCAGTCGAAGTGAGCGGATGAAGATATCTGAAACCAAAATATTTCCTTACACACTAAATGTCTTCTTTGTCTAAAGAGTAAAACAATCTGCCAAAAGCAAATAGAGATAACATGGTGTAAAAGAACAGCGGTGAAGGGAGTTTTTTTAGATAGTTATGTTAAAGCAGCAATTCCAAAATAGAAGTAGGAGTTCTTGATTCAGAAAAATACAAGCAATCAGCTAAATGAACTTGATTTATGATAATAGAGTTCATAATGCCACAGGACCCCCTTCAGTGTTTATCTGTTTAATATTAGATTGGATTAAGATATATATTTTTTTAATGTACACAATCCTGAAGCTAGTATGGTTGGTGTTTATGTCCACTATGTTCCATACTGTTGGATAGTATATTCTATAAAAAATCTATAATGTTAAATGAAATGATGATGTATTTTATGTTGAATCATATTCTGTTTTAACTATTATTTTCCAAGAAATTCTTGCAAAAGTCAACTGACTTTTTCTGGAAAAGTATTTTGAGTAACCAGGGATATTAAGTAAATGTTTTGGTTGTGTGTTCACAAAGTATGTGTTTGTACTGAAACAAGGGCGCCATAACACAATACAACTGGCATAGCTCATTACTAAAGTCCAACCTTAAGATGTTGCTATGACATCATGCTTACAGTCCAGAAAAATAATTATAAGTGATAAGTGAAAATTAAGCTTTGTGCCAAATCTTTAACAGAAGGGTTTTAAATGAACAGTTTTTACATTCTGTGAAATAAGCTTATTTGCTTTGTTGATCAAAAATACATGATAGGAATTGACACCATGTCTGTGTGTTGAGTACATAGCAAGAATCAATGTTTTAACCAATGGGCTTAAATATGAATTGTTCTTTTGCAGACATTTAGTAACTCATTAAGACGGAATACATCCTGTTATTTGTAGAGCATACTGCCCACCATGTAAGCAAATATTTGGTGTCAATGTGTTGTAGCCACATGTGTCTACATCCCAGCAGCAGTAGTACCTTTTGCAGGTCTGCGATGGCCTGCTTCAGATTCTTGGCCTGCTCGTATTTCTCCTGCCGGACCATGTCCTGCTTCTTCTGGTCCAGGAGTCTGATGATGTGGGCGACCTCTGGGTCCTGGTACATGTCGAAGGCCAGGTCATCCAAGGGGGAGATGGACTCACATTTACTGGACACAAAAACATTTGAAATAGTTTACAAAACAAAACCTTCAAACATTGATTTATCTTCAATATAAATGTGGTCTAATTCACTTGAGACAATGTCAGTGTAAAATGTGTCTCAGTTAAATGCGTATGTGCAAATCCTGATCAAAGGGAAAAAACACTAACTCAGACCCTGAGGTGAAGCATCCCTTGGGGGTTGATATATATTTTTTTTTTTTAAAGGAAAAAGGAAAGAAAGGAGTATTTCGAAATATGTTTTCCTCCTCACACGGGCCGCCACCTGCATTGTCTTCAAATGCGTGTGACCTTGAATGCCTTATTGGTTGTCTTCCAGACTAAATGGCTTTGTTGAAGGGTGTTATTGTCACAAGACAAAGAAAGCAGGGTTCAATGTCCTCGCCTCACCCCATGAAGGTCGTGTCCAAGGCGGATTCCAGCTGGGTACTGTTGAGGTAGTGTTCGATCAGCTGCTCTCGGCTTGGCTGGGGGTAAACAGATGGACAAATTAAACACACACATGCATATATACTCTTGTATTACTGTGCTCAGGAAGACCTGGTAATTGTCTCCTAATCCTGTTAGCTCTAAAGTGACCTTCAATTAAAACCCTAACCTTAAAGTAACCAAAACATTGCCATTTAAAAGTGAGACCTGTGAAAATGTGCGGACTTGAACACGTCAGTAATACAAGTGTACTCACACACACATGCATACATCAAAACCTAATTACTTATCTTTAATTAAAGGCTACGACCAAATATGGAGATTTTTAATACATTGCTTACACTGCTATCACCTGAAGTGTGAAGTGGACAATCGGTCAAAGAACAGGCTGTCTATGAATTACATAATTCATGAAATCTGCATGTAATATGAGGAAGGACAAACGTCCTGCTAGCCAGTAATAAGTAGGAACACGCACAATATTGTACACTTATCTAATCATAGTGCAGTATGTCGTTCTTTTTCCTGAAATATGAAGATAATATATCATCCAAGGGGATAAAAGACATGATAATATTTTGAATGTCACTATTAAATAAGATAGTGGAACATTAGTATGAGGAGAATTTCATTATTCACATGACACAGATTAGATAACATGTTTTGGGGTCAGTTCACAAAAAGTAAAATATAGAAACGTTCTTAATACTTTATGCATCCACTCCAAAATAATTGTGTGAATATGATTGAATCTGCATTGTGCCCAGCATTCAAAAACATATGTTTATATTAAACACCAAAGTGTGTTTCCAGGAACTGGTAACTCTAGACCAGGGGTCACCAACATTTTTTAGGATGAGGGCTACTTTCAAAAAATAAAACAAGTCGGGGGCTACTTTTACTCCTCTTTTTTTTGTTTTTTGCAGTGTATATATTTATCACATTTTAACATTATTATATGCTTACCTTTAATCTTTGTGTGCTGTTTGGGTCTGTGGGACCCGTTTTCAGTGTTTACTAAAAGAAAATGTATGCAATTTAATTATTTTAACCTGCTTTATTGGGGGGTGGGCCTCACATCCTCTAGGGGGGCCTCACATCCTCTAGGGGGGTCCTCACATCCTCTATGGGGGTCCTCATCTCCTCTAGGGGGGTCCGGGGGCATGCACCCCCGGGAAGATGTTTTTTAAAATGTTGAAGTGAAATGCATCAATCTGGTGCACTTTGAGCACAAAATGAATTTATGGATACAGCTCTCAACTCTCAGATGAAAGGAAGATGTATACTTTTCAATACTCCAATCATCTTTAGAATATCATCACAACCAATAACACATCATTTAAACTTGTTTATTCTTATCTTATGTTACCTAGTAGTTAGCATTCTTTCTTTTTATTTATGCATATTTTACTAATCATTCCCCTTTAAACTGTTTTTTGTACTGTCCTAGTACACATTGGAATGATTTCTTACTTTATCTATATTACATAGATAAAAGTGTGCTCTCCCTAGCTCTCTCGCTCTCTCTCTCTCTCTCCCTCTGTATCACTCGCTCACAGAGACTGTGTGCTCCTCCGTGGCGAGGACGGCTTGCGTTAAAAAAATAATAAACATATTTGTAAAGTGGGGGGACATGTCCCCCCCCCTGTCCCCAGTGGAGATTACGCCATGCGTGTGTGTGCGTCAAGTGGAATAAATATATATGCAAGTTACAACACACAGAGTAAAACTCTGCCCCTCATGTGCTGTATAGGCTGGCATGATAGGCTGTTCAATGGGGCTGATGTGTTGTGTAGATTCTGCCAGAAGGAAAATCAGCGGGGAGGTGCCACATTGCTTTTCTTCCCGACTGCAACGCTGGTCCCGCAAATCAAGCAAGAACGTGATTGGTCGATATTCATTGTGGGGGTGGGGGAGGAGGGGCGTTAGATATAGAGTTGTAGTAAGTAGATAGAGTTCGCTATGATTTACGTGTCGTTTATGCATAGGGTAGATTCTTTTAATTACATTTCCTTTTTTGTTTTGTGTATTTTATACATTTTGGATTTGCTTGGCGAGCTATTTTTAGAACATGCCCGGCGGGCGACTCACGTTGCCCCTGCGGGCGACTGAGTGCCCGCGGGCACCGTGTTGGCTACCCCTGCTCTAGATAAATAGGCAGTTAACCGTTTTCTGTTACGAAGCACAAGCCGATATGAAAAGTGACAACGAAATGTATCCAGCATGAGAGGGTTATAACGTGGTCCATAATATTTCCAACCACCATTATTCTATAACTCCTTAATTAGGGCAATCAATTAGGAAACATATCAACTACCTCATTTCTTAGACGTCACAGTAGAAGAAGCACAGGTGTAAATTATGAAATATTGGCATGCATAAAGAGCCATCGTTAATGATATTAGTAACACCTGTGCTTTTTATTGTGATGATAAGTGAAAATAAAGGCAAACCAGGTTGGAGAAAGCTCAAAATTTAAAATAATCAGATTTCGCTTTATCAGCATTTACTAAAGCCTAAAGCAGGGGTGGGGAACCTTTTTCCTCTCAAGGGCCATTTCAATTTTTTCAACATCCTCCGAGGGCCGTACAAATTATTGACCTCTGCTTAAAAATCACAGCACATTCTTTCATGCTGTGCAAAGAAAAAGTAACCTCTTAGTCCAGATATCTTGCCATGACTCGCGTATGCATGCACGTGCACGGTTGTGGCATGACCACCAAACAGAAAGATATGGACACAAATTGTGTGCAAATTTATTTAGTTTCCTATCCATGTGAACATGATTTAAGTGGGGGGGGGCATAACCTCCTCTAGGGGGGGGGGGTCCGGGGGGCATTTTCCCCCGGGAAGATTTTTTTTAAATATTGAAGTTGAAAGCATCAATCTGGTGCACTTTGAGAGCAAAATGAAGAGATCTATGGAAACATCTCTCAACACCCATATAAAACGGAACTGTAAGCAGATTTACTTTTTCTTTATGGATATTTTACAAATCACTCTCCTTTCAAACTGTATTCTTGTTGATTAATAACAACTTTTTTTTACTGTCATATAGTATTTTATACCTGTTTATTTTATTCTCTTGTTTTTTGATAACTATAATGATCATATAAAGATGTGCCTTTACCTCACTGGTTGGAGAAAAAGCTTCTTATATTCGTTAGCATAGCTAGCTAACCAGATGCTAATAGCAACAAAGTTATTGACTGTATGATCAGAATGACAGATGAACAGATCGCCACTGGGCTTACAACTAAAGACACAGCCACGCAAAAACTGCAGCATGTGTACGGACCATAGACTGTATATGGTACGGACCCTATGGTACGGACTTATGGGTAGGCCTACTGCAATTTGTTTGAAGTCCCGGAGCCGCGTTCTGGTGCTCTCCGTCAGCACTGCACCCCTGTCAGACGAGACATATAACACGTTAGGCTCGTGTTGTGTTCAAGGACCATGACCGTTGCCAGGAAAAACAGGCACTCGCTTGTTTAATTATTTTGCGGTCTAGATTTCTTTAATTTTTTTCTTTTTTGCGTGTGTTTAGAAATTACCTCGAGGGCCATACCAAATGGTCTCGCGGGCCGTATACGGCCCAGGGGCCGGAGGTTCCCCATCCCTGGCCTAAAGATTGGCATTACTAATTGTATATTGACGGAACAGAGCAGATTGATAGTACTGTATAAGGGAGACTTAGCTGTACAATATGTTGTGTCCTGCCCTCAATCCAAATAAGAACAACAGATTGGTGGAGTTGTGTAAAGCATGGGATCATGAGTCTTTTCCACATTTGCAGTCAATGCAATAGGCTTCTTAAAGGTCCCATGACATGGCCATTTCTACCGATCATAATTCCATTGTTGAGGTCTACTAGAATAGGTTTACATTGTTCAATGTTCCGAAATCACATTGGTTTCTCATACAGCATCTCTGTATAGTATGTGTATTCACTCTCTGTCCTAAATGGTGTTGGAGCTCCTGCCCCCCCCTCCCTATGAGCCCACTGTGCTCTGATTGGTCAGCTCGCCCACTCTGTTCTGATGAGTCAACCACTGTTACAGCGGAACATCAGTGAGTATGTGTTACAATGGCGTTAGCAACCAGAAAATGACACCAGTAATGACAAACAGATGAGAATGCTGCGTGGGGTCTGGGTGCCGTGTTGGCGGGACGTTGCGGGGCTCCCTGTTCTGCCCTTTGGGGCTCGAGGAGCGGACAGTGTGAGCTGAATTACTGGTGTCGTTTCCTGGTTGCTGCGTGGGGTCTGCGAGACAGCGAGACACCGCGGAACTCAGCCTGAGCACACACACTCACAGCCACCCCCATACTCAAAACACCTGGCCTGGACTCCGACGACCTCCAGAATCACCGGCCGATCTCCAACCTTCCCTTCCTAAGCAAAACTCTGGAAAGAGTGGTTGCCGGCCAACTCCATCTGTACATGTCCAACCACGAGCTCTATGAGCCCTTCCAATCCGGCTTCAGACAGCAACACAGCACTGAGACCGCCCTCCTCAAGATCACCAACGATCTCCTCATTGCTGCTGACTGGCCGCCTCAGCATCCTCATCCTCCTGGACCTCTCTGCAGCGTTTGACACCATCTCTCACAACATCCTCCTCACCCGCCTCTCAGACCTCCTAGGTGTCACTGGCACAGCGCTGTCTTGGTTCACATCCTACCTCCATAACAGGAAACAGTTTGTCTCCATCAATGGCTCAAATTCACCCCCGGCCCCAGTCCACCACGGTGTACCCCAGGGCTCTGTGCTTGGCCCCCTCCTGTTCATCATTTACATGCTCCCCCTCGGCCAGATCATCCGACATCATGGACTCAATTTCCACTGTTACGCTGATGATACTGTAACTATATCTCAGCACTACTCCATCTTCCCAGCTCCCCCCTCAGTCTCTCATCAACTGCCTGCATGACATCAAAGCATGGATGTCGTCCAACTATCTCAAACTAAACAGCAGGAAAACAGAGCTCATGGTTGTGGCACCCAAGGCGCTGCTCCAGAAGGTTGGTGACTTCATCCTCGAGGTTGACGGCTGCTCCATCTCCCCATCTCCCGAAGCCCGCAACCTGGGCGTCATCCTTGACTCCACCCATTCCTTCCACTCCCACGTCATGTCTGTGACCAAATCGGCCTTTTTCCATCTAAGGAACATTGCCAGACTCCGACCGTCACCCTCGGAGTCGGTTGCCGAAACCCTAGTCCATGCGTTTGTCACCTCCCGCTTGGACTACTGCAATGGTCTCCTGTTTGGGGTTCCCAACAAAACCCCGGACAGGCTCCAGTATGTTCAAAACTGTGCTACTAGGGTACTCACACATACAAAGCCATGGCAGCACATCACTCCCACCCTCATCCACCTCCACTGGTTGCCGGTCAAGTCCAGCATAACATACAAAATCCTCCTCCTTACCTACAAGTCCCTCCATGCCCATGCCCCCCAGTACCTATCGGACATCCTTCGCCCACATGCCCCACCCCGGAACCTGCGGTCTTCAGACTCTGGCCTGCTTACCACACCCTGCACCAAACTGCGAACCTTCGGGGACAGAGCCTTCAGTGTGGCAGCCCCCACCCTCTGGAATGCTCTCCCTGCGGAGATCCGCAACATCCCCACGCTTGACGCCTTCAAAAGGGCCCTCAAGACCCATCTGTTTACTAAGGCCTTTGGCCCCTAATCTATTTGTTGTTTTGTCTGTCTGAGTGGTTGTCTGACTGTCTTTTGTTTTTGTTATGTTTGTTTTGCCCCTGTTCTTCTTTGTAACGCGACCTTGGGTCTCATGAAAGGCGCTATATAAATCTAAGCTATTATTATTATTATGACCAGGAAGAAAAAATTGGCAAAAGAAAAATCTCCAACGAGGCGTTCTGGGGCAGCATAGACAGGTATTTTCTGTGTTAGAATTTTACTCGCTACAGGGTGTACTTTGAGGGTTTGTGACTCTGCAGACCGTTTACATGCAGAAAAAGCTACATAACACAAGGGGACGGGTAATAACCAGAAAAGCATGTCATGGGATCTTTAAGGTTGAGATTTGTTTGTTGTCAAATGTCAAGGAGGTTTTTATCGGGAGCAGAATTATCCACAGAGTTTCCTCCTCTCTATAACAAATAGAGCCAGAGATTAAAAAAGTAAAATACTGACCAAAACATTCGTGTTAAAATGGTCACGTTTAGCAGACATTGAATTTAAAAGCAGCAAGCTAACCACTAATGTTTACTCAGCTTCCTTCATCTGGGGGGAAATGTATGGTTAAAAACAATTAATATCTCAAAAGTCTATTGTAAGAATGTTGCCTATACCTGGATCAAAATGCAATATATGATTCTGGCAAACAACCACACCGTTCAAAGGGGATATGTTGCTATTACCAATATCAAAAAGACTGTTAGCTCGATTGAAAGCAGGGATTTTTCTAATTAAAGAAGTTTTTAATCAAATGTGAGTACACAATTTATAATGTATAACATAAGTCTGGTCGGTTTAAGTATATTTAAATTCAGAATCCTTTTTTTGGAGGCAATAACGGCAGCTTCAACATATCCACAATTGGAAAAAGCTTCCATTTACCATCATCCCTTACACTTTTGAATGGCTGTGTGAGTACGATGAACAAAATTCCATTCCCCTCCATTGCATTTGACAAATGTGCGTGGCTTGATACCCCCTAGAGGTAATGTAGAAGATACCTTTTTCTTGATAATTTAAATAACCAACACTTTTAAAATACAATAAGCTTCCTTGCTTTGTCTGCACTACAGTGTCCCTCCGCAGGACAAACACAACGTGCGCTCACAGAACAGATACAAGAGAACAAGATCTAGCCGACCCTCCAGGCGAGATCGCTGCTGCGGTGGAGGTGCTCAGAGTCGGATTAGCGGAGCAACAATGCACGGCCTGTTCACTGGAATCTGTGCGAGTGTGTGTCCGTGTCTCTCCCTGTCTGTGTGTGTGTGTTTTTGTGTTTTAAGGTGCTCTCTCTCCTCCAGAACCTGTCTGTCTGCAGAACTATCTGATTTCACCGGCTAACTAAAGGCCTCCTGTGTGATTACATACTATCCTGCCTTTGTGTCTCATTACTACATTCCTAACACATACACATACACACCATACACACACACACACACACACACACGCACACACCATTCAGGTAAACACACACACACACACACACACACACACACACACACACACACACACCATTCAGGTAAACACGTGTGCATATAGACATGCTTATATAGTGTATTCGGATCAGTAAATACAAATAAATACAACATAAACGTCCGATCAAAATAAATGTTGATCTATTATATCTATTTAATTCAGTACATCCTCCCCATATAAATATATAATGTTTAAAAAAGGCAAATAGCATCATAATAGGAACATTGTTCAGAATTCAGCTTATAAAGGATACACAAATAATATACCTTATGTGACGAATTATTTCACCATTGGTGTTACCATTTAAAAAAGCCAAAGTTCAAACTGTCATAGTCCCCAGCAAATGGATGAAGACATCAATCAACTCATTACTTAGTGACTGATGACAGACTGATGAGCATGTCGCATAAAACCACAGCACAACAGCCCCATCTAATGCCGAGCAGATAGAAGTTCAGTGAAGGGTGACTGGGTGCAGAGAGTGCTCACTTACAATAGTGTTAAAAGCATTGCCATCCAAAGAATCTCCCACAACATTAATGGCCACCAAAGCAACCTGAAATCATAAATTCATGTGGTAGAACAGAAAAAAATATATCAATGCATGTGACAAAAGGATGTGTTGGGAGGTTAATATGGTAAATACTTTACAGCATTTTAAAGGATAAGGTTGGTGATATACTATATTTTTATTATAATAAAAAAATCATGTGAAAATGGTGTAACAGACTACCTGATTGTGATGATTGTATTGGTTGACATGGTTCCTGTGGAAGGTAATTCTCAGGTATGTTCCGATGGCGTCCACGTGGACTGACTTCAACTCCCGAGCTTTGAAACCCGTCTTCTCATTGTCCGACAAAGACACGTACCTGTGGTGAGAGTACAGTGTTGCCTTTCAGTTAAAGTCCTCTGCTGATAAATACTAGACTTGAATGCACAAACAATTGTAATCTATCATGATATAGAATGCTGCAGGGATTATATTTGTTTGAAGGCCAGCCTGTAAACATCACGCTGGTTCCTTTGACAAAATGCCAATGGGTTATTCACTTTGGATTTTGGTGGTTTTATTCAGCAATTTAATCTTCACAGAAGAACACCACATTTCGGATATCTGAAGCATAAATGCAATTGCTAAAGTTAGATATAAACACTTTTTACTTCAATGCACTTGCTTAACACGTGCAGTCATATACAGATTTTAGCACTTATTCCTGAAGCAATGTATACTGTAAAGATACTGTGGGATAATTCATACTAAACATCTAGCAGGGTACAATTTCAATATTTTGTATAACAGGCATTTATTTGCTAACGTGTATGTATTTTGATTCTAGGGCACATCCTTCAGGGATCTCGCAAATGATGGCTTTAAGAGTAGAACTGTCCCATCAACATCCACCTTTTGATATCTAACAGCAATATATTATTGAAACCAGATTATGGTTGCTTCTATTCAAGTAAAGGCTTTAAAATTAAACAACATAATCCTAGATTACCAATTGCCTTTTGGGGATTCTACATAACTATTGAACAGAGCTTTTCTGCATGTACTGTACCTCCTTCCCGGTAAAGTTGATTAGATACAAAATTAGAACCAGATCAAAGTAACCAAGCTTAGTGTCTGAGCCTCATCCCTAGCGCCTGGACAACAATTATAGTAAAACTACCCTTTAAGGTAGAAGTAAAAATGTAGCCTATCCGAGTCTGCAGTCTCACCCGAGTCTGCGAAGCTGTCCAGGGAACCCTGAAGTGCCGGTTTCAGGCAGGGTGTCTCCAATGTGGAACTCCACCTTGGCTGGGATCAGGTACTGATGGGCCAGCAGCTGCAGTTTCCTCACCCTGCATCTCTCCACCAGCTGGAGGGTGATATGTTGAGTGTAGGGGCACAGCCTGCAGAAAATCGGATTTACACAAAGTTACATTTGTTTAAGAGGGTAGAAAAATACTAAAAACTGCCAATATTTTTGATGCTTTTCAGCTAAGAAAGACATGAATAAATGTGACATGCTTGTGAAAGTTAAGAGCTGTTTTATTAAAGTACCTGCTGGATCTCCAGCCATTGACTGTGGGTGCGTGGACCATGAGCTCCTTGGCACTGAAGTTGTCCTCATGACTTGAAGAGTTGACTACAATGAATCCTATCTTCCTGGGCATCCCTCTGGTGGACACTGAGAGAACACAAATAAGTATTTTTATTTATACAAGCAAAACATACATCTGATATTGAGGATGATTTTACAATTCAATTACTTATCCTACAGGCTTACAATGTGTGTTTAATAACATCTCCATTTTCTATAACAATGACATTATGCCTGGAGATGCTCTAGTAACAATAAGCGACAATTTAATGGCAGGTTTTTAAATTATATGTCTAGTTATGACCAAAAAACTAAATCCTCTTTATGTCTGGTTCACAAACCTCTTTTTAGTACCACCTGACATTTATTGTCTGGTCAGATGTTCAGTCCAGTTTAATTATTATTTGATCACATAGTTTCAGATTTAAATGTTTCCAATTTCAGACTGCATTTTATTCAAGCAGTGTTCTTGTATGGGTGCTTGAGCTAAACATTTGACAACTTAAGCCTATTTTTATCAGTGAAAAAAACAGTTGTGTAAGAACAAAATGGTATGTTTCTCGAGTATTACAATTATAGTTTAAAATATCAGTAACCACATACAGGTAGTGTATTCGTATCACTAGTACTGACACATTTACAAGACAATGTTTAATCACAGTCACTTTACTTGACCAAACAATGCTGAGCAAACCTGTCAGCAATTACACATTCATTTTAAGAAATAATACAAACAATAAACTTATTTTAACCATAAAAATATGTATTAACATTTGGTTTGTTAGTAATGCTAGCTGGTACGTTGTTCATCATGTTATGGTTCTGAGTGTGTGTCATTAGCTGTAAATAACGTTTTGCTAAACGCACGAGGCTTAAATATTTGTTGAAGGGTTTACTTGTGTCGCAGGAAATATTCAACTGCTAATTTACTGCATTTAGTTTGGGGTAGGGTTATCTGCAAAGGAAATACACTATCCTGGGCAGAGCATACACAAAACCCCCTTGGTAGTAGGGGTAGGACAGAGAAGCCTTTATTGCTGACTGGAGCATGTTGGGCGGAGGGCATTAACGCTAGCTAACTGTTGACTACTGTATCAGCCAACATAGCTACTTTTACAGTAGCTTTATTCTAATGTGAACCGCTAAAATACAGAAATGCCCTGACAACTGTTGGTCGCTGTAGACTATCTTTTTTGGGTGAACATTTGGGTGTAAATACAAGTTTTATTGCGTTTATTTCAAAGATATCTTACCACGAACATCACCGTAATGTTGACAGCTTGTAGTCCCATCGCATCTCCATAACCACCGGTGACAACAACCAGCGCGGACATGCGCAATGGTGTGGGACCGACGTCAGTCGCAATGGGTTGTGGTCAATGTGGTTTTACACGGTCGGAAATGTTTTTTTTACATCACCCGTTAAATGTTAAATCCATGTTTATCGTAAATATCTGGTGTATGTATTGTGTTTCTGCCTACAAATCGAAACAATTATCACATGGATAATGTTTCAAAATGTATTTTAATATGCGTTTTTCAAACTTCTTCCAGGACCCCGGATGGGAAATAGCATCGTGTCATCGTGCCTTTTACAACAGGAAGTTGTCTACAAAATAAAGGCACAGCATGAAACATTAACTTTTACACACGTAAGTTCCTATAATATAAATATTTAAAATCCAAATGTGCCACAGATCTGTATGTATCACTAATGAATAATTATTTAGAAATTGTGTATTTACTTTCTTTTTTTGTATGTGTTATGCTTAGTCTATTTTTGATTGTAGTAGGCCTACAATGTGTAAATGTAAATGTTTCATGTTGTGTTTTTTCAGTCTAGACTCCAGAGGATGAACATCTTATATTTGTATTTTTTACCGTTCGTAAATTCATCTTGTGAATTAAAAAAGCTCTTATATTGTTATAAAATTACATTTCGATTTGACTAATTTTGTATGTACAGGCGATCAGTAAATCCCAAACATACACATTTATTTTGAAATATTAAAACGGATGTAGTGTTTTTTATTGTCTCTTCAACTAGTCTTAGCAGCAGCAAGCATGGATGACATCGAGCAATGGCCAGAAATAGAGAAAGTAGCGTTAGAGAAGAGACGTGAACTGGTTTTCCAGGGTGCAGCTTTCGATGAAAGGATTGCCTCAAACGGGGGGCTCTGCTCGGCTATCTACACCCTCAAACTGCTGAACTATCTGGAAGTTAGCCAGTGCCCGAGTTTGACAGAGATCCACGAGGACATCCAACATCTGACCAGCCTGCAGAGCCTCATCTTGTGCAGGAACAAGCTCGCCTCCTTCCCGAGTGTGGTCGGTCAGCTCAAGTCCCTGAAGGTCCTGGATATTTCAGCCAACAACCTGACTGTTTTACCAGAGGGGATCACCCAGTTGAAGGAGCTCAACACCCTCAATGTGAGCTGCAACAGCCTGGAGGTCCTGCCAGAGGGACTGAGCAAGTGCACCAGGCTCTCCACCATCAACATCTCCAAGAACAAGATCACTGCTTTCCCTGCTGATTTCTACTCCGAGAAACTGGACCTCCTCAGCATGCTGGTCGCCTATGACAACTCCATTGAACAGCTGAGTGGAGATGTTCACAAGCTAGCTGCTCTAAAGGTGGGCCGGATGCTATTGTTAGCTCTTATACACATATCATGTCATCTTTTAGGGGCTAATTGTGCTTCTGGGTGAATAAAATGTACGCCGAATTAAAATGAAGGTTTCACTTTGTGTAGGGTGTGTCTGGAATTATAGCTAACAAAGAGTCATATTTGCTTATATGCAATGCAGCACAAACATTTTATTTTTTTGTCCAGAGTTTGGTCGGTAGCCTGCCATAAATGACTCATCTATTTCATGTTAATGCAGTAGGTCTGGATGATATGGAAAAAGGTTTAATAATAATGATTTCCCAAAATATTAAGCAATGTAATTTTAGAAAACAAATCACTTGTATATTTTGGATATAATGAAGTGGGTAAAGGCAAATAATACAAGTTAGGACAGTCTGGTAAGTACAAAAAAAGACATACATTTGCTGTAATGCAGCCTTTAAGCTACCAACTTTTATACAATATTCTGAAATCTAAAATGTAAGAAGATATCTATTCTCATATCAAGATTTTGATATAATTATGAAATATTGTTTTTTCTTAACATAACAGTTCAAAACTAAACGTTCGCCCTTTTTTTCAGATGCTGGACCTCTCTAACAACAAGCTAAAGGAGATCCCACCCGAATTGAGCGACTGTGCCAAGCTTAAGGAGATCAACTTCAAAGGCAACAAGTTGAGTGACAAACGTCTGGAGAAGATGGTCAACGGCTGCCAGACCAAGTCCATTCTGGAGTACCTCAGAGGAAAAGGAAAGGGAAGACAGGGTGAGGAAGGAGCTGACGCGGAAGGGGGTCGCAAGGCGGACAAAGGTAAACGCCAGCAGAGGAAGAAGAAGGATAAGGGGGCAGAGGATGAGGTGGAGGAACTGAACAAGATGGTGGTGAAGGTTCTCCACGTTTCGGACACTCCTGAAGCACTCACGGTGACAGTGAGTTCAGAGGTGAAAGACGTCCGACCGTACTTGGTGTGCTGCATTGTCAGGGGCATGAACCTCCAATCTGGGAACGCTCTTAAACGATTCCTCGTTGCTCAGGTAAGATCAGACCCCTCACAAGGGTGTGCGCTTTGGACAATTGTCTTAGTTTAGCATGACTAATACAATAAGTGTGCTGTGTTGTCACCAAAAAAGTGTCACCTCTTGTTTTGCCAGACAAAGCTTCATGATGACTTATGTGGTAAAAGGACCATCGCGACCATTGCAACTCATGATGTGCAGCTTATTAAAGCTCCTCTGGTGTATGATGTCAAACCACCTACACAGCTGAAGGTATGCTAACGTAGATTCATGTCAATTTCAGTTCAGTTGCTTTGTGGTCAATTATAATTGTCACTGTAAAGCTCTCCAACAACATATCCATCTCACAAAAGACGGCATTGGTTTTTAGGTTGTTTCGCTGGGTCGGAAGGAGATGACGGCTGTGGAGCTGATAAGACAGCTTCAGCTGGAGGCTGACGAGCTGAGGAAGCAGAAGAAGAGGCAGAACGTCACCGGCCTGCACAAGTCAGTATTACTTCTGACTCCTCTCTTCTGTAGGAAAAAGTGTTGTGAAATATCTTGTATTGGTTAACTACAAGCTTGAGTCCAGGGAAGAACGTTTTGGTAAAAAAATGTTGAAAACCCATTAACTGTTATTTCAAAATAAAATACCTTATTCGTAACATTAAAGTTAAGGTAAGCAGTTTTATTTTTGGTGTCACTTCTTGTCATGGTGTAATTCAGTCTAATAAAGACCATTAGACTCCTACACCGGCTCATGGTTCTGTTTTCAGTCTTTAAAAAATGAGGGAAGACTTCAAGATAATTTTCGGAAACAAAAGTTACTATAAGCTGTTCTATAAATAGAGAATGGCCTTCAGGCGATTGAAAAGTTGCTATTCCAGCATAGGCGTCAACTGCCAACACATTAAAGCAACCCAAAAAGGAAGACGTACTTAGATTATTATGAAACATTTTGCCCAAAATAACTGCCTACCTCAGCTTTAAAGTGGTTCACCAGACCTCTGTACAACGTGCTTGCTGCTGTAACACATGAGGGCAGTGTTAGTATGTTGGACGACAGCTTAAGTTTGTTTTATTAAAACCTTTGTGTTGAATGAGCAATGAGTTGTAGGCTCATTTTAAGGCAACATCAGCCAACAATTCTGGATGTAGTTATCAGTGTGGGATAAAAAAAAAAATGCTGAAACATTTTGAGATAATATTGATCAGTTGATCTTAATGGTAATAATAGACATGACTGAACATTATGTAAACCGCTTTTATCAATCTTATTAATGCTTTAATTAAAGCCACTTGCTGTTGGTTTAAAAGACTATTCAGGATGCCGACACACACTCAATGAAACCTGCAAATCAAAGAATCTTAAATCTAAAGGCTGAATTCAATGTAACCATTTCTTTAAAGCATATCACCTGCTATGTGTCTGTTACATTTGCTAAAGCCCTTTCATAATGCTGTCTCAACTATTTTGTGTTTTCACAGATACCTTCAGCTTCTGAAGGGAAAAGAAATGTATCCCTGCTTAGTGGATGCAGAAGGACATGTGATCTCTTTCCCACCTATAACTAACAGTGAGAAAACCAAGGTGTGTATGTCTATTTTGAAATCATAATTTGTACTTTCTCTAAAGACTTAAATAAGGTGTAAAATATATTAGCGGAGAAAACATAAAACCCCTTACACATGCCTCATGCCACATCGACCTGTAGCTTACAGTTTGTCTCTGTGGAGTTATATAATCAGCTGATTTGATTTTACAGATCAAGAAGACAACCAAGGAGTTGTTCTTGGAGGTGACAAGTGCAGCCAGCCTGCAGACCTGTAAAGATGTTATGGATGCTCTGATTGTGGTAAGTGTGGCAGTAATCCTACAATTGTTAACTTTCTTAAAAATCTAACAATACCAATATTAAATGTTGTTTTGCGAACATTTCGGTATTTTAAATTGGAAAGTTTTCCGATAAATAAAAGGGCAGGCAACCTTAATGTAGCAATCTCATTTAAATTAAACTGTTAGCCATTATTGTCTATCTTACATTTGAGAATTTATAACTTGTAACTTTTTAGTAAAATCCTATTTTGCATGATTAAATGGTGACTGGACTACATCCTGAAAAAAGTACCCGTGCAAATCGATTTTGGAAATGTGAATTGTTATAAATCTAGAAATGTTTTTTGTAATTGTGAACCAACAAATTAGTGGAATCTCTACATTGTTTAGCCCTTTTTTCTTTCTTCTTTCATTCTGTTCTGTATGCTACGGAGCCCTGGAGGGTTCATAGAGAGAAAAATAAATAAAACGTGACCACGTTTTACTTTCTCGTTCGCACGAGATACCTTCTCGTGCGCACGAGTTAATAAAGCGTGGTTAGTTTTATGGTGTGTGTCGTTCGTTCGTTCCGGTGCACTCCGGCAGGACTATAGCACATCGAGATTAAGATTAAACAAATTTCTTTCACTTGGGAATACACATATAACTATGGAGAACCAGATTTGTGTAAATTACTGTTCGTGGTAATTTGAAAACAAATGCCGGTGGTGTCGGACACACACACACACACCGAACACGCACACACAGAGCGGAGCTGAGCACACACACACACATCATGCGCCCCGGTGACCGGACATCTCCTTCATAAAACGAGGAAGAATACTCTGGTAGTTCGATGTGTGTAGACTAGAGGTGTGTGTGGTTAAACGTAGCAGCCTCGATCTCTATTCAGCGGTTCTAATGAAGGGAAACGCAGTGAAGTAAACAGTAAAAGGCACAGCTCTTTGCAGCTGGTGCTGCTCTTCTCAGATTCTGCTGAGTTACACGTTACTGCCTGTACGACGAAGCCACTTCAACAGACCCTGGATATGTTTGACTTACCCGGCTTAACTAACCCTAACAAACGCGATCTCGCTAAGCGGTCCTACGAAGCTGGTTATCAACTCAGTAAATCAACCAGGGTTTCTCTGTCCGGCTGAGAGCGAGTTCACGTAAAAGGGACGGGGTTAGCAACATTTGACCAATCACAAACATGGAGACGCGTGCTGACAGCGCAGCGTCATACTTCATGAATGAATAGTGTAAATAGCAAATTCTGCTTCGTAGTACAGGCCACTGGTGCCGCAGAGATTTCATAAAGCGAAGGAGGTTTTCCTTCTATAAAACAGCTATGGGCAGCAGATACTGTGAGTCACACAGGAATCCCTCAATTTAAATAAAACGAGGCCACGCTTTATTAACTCGTTCTCACGCTTTATTAACTCGTGCGCACGCTTTATTAACTTGTGCGAACGAGAAACTAAAACGTGGTCACGTTTTATTTATTTTTATCTCTATGAACCCTCCAGGGCTCCGTAGTATGCCGTTCTGGCAATGTGAAAACAGTTATATTCAGGCAGACAGTATGAGAAAAATAATGATATTTCTGAAAATGAAAGCATGTAAACATGTTCTAGAAGAAACCTTCAATGCAATTATGAAACAAAAAAAAGTTGAAATGTATCCTTTTAAAGTGCATTTCTGGTTTCATCACAGAAAATGGCGGAGTTGAACAAGTTCACGGCGGAGCATCAGGAGGAGGCGGGGTCAGACGGGGAAGGGGACAGCCCACAAGAGCCGGCAGGCAGCAGCGAGACCTCCAGCGAACTGATCGTCCAGCAGGTCCGCACGGTGGACCAGGACGGGAGCCTCAAGGTCGTCTACCCGTCCAAAACCGACCTCTGCAGCGCCATCAGCAACCTGACTGTCGTTTGGTAGTCGTTGCTGTGGATAACCTCTGATGTTTACACTCATTCACATGCTGCATGAAGTCATATTAACATGGCTAAGGTTAAGGTTTGACAACATGTAACAACATTACATCCTTTTTACTTCAGGGAGCACAGAAATCTGATCCATGATTGACGTGTTGCCTGTTGACGAATGTTTTTGATTTAAGCACAGCTTTTTGAACCACATAGTTATGTTAATAAATCGTGTTTGCTGCTTTCACAAAAGCATGAACAATATGTCAACATTTGTGCAAATATCCAGATTTTTGTATTATTTACAAAATGAAGAAACGTTGTCTGTTGGTAAACATATTTGTGTTCAATTAACATTGACTTTAACTTGGACTGGCGACTTGTGAGACCATTTGTTCACCTTGCAGTACATATTGGCATTTTCCCTTTAAGCAGCAGCAAAGAATGTCTGACTTAGACTTAATAAAATATACTCCTTCTTTCATTTATTTTATTTCATATGCCACACACACACAGTGTTTGCTGTTTAGCTACAGATTATGTAGGTCTGAGTGTTCTTGGTTTTGCCATTGTAGCTACAGTGCTAATGCTAACTGCCAAACAATGTGGGAACACAAACTGCCCCAGGTTCAGGTTATTTACGGTATTTGTACCCATAGGTAGATTCGGATTGCAGATAAAAGACCATGGATCCACCCTGACAAACATTCAAAAACAACACAGACACTGCTATAACATCATTTGTGCGATGACTGCGGGAATACAGCAGTTATTTTCAATCCTTCAAAACTTTTATACAGCATCTATGGATAGATCTAATCCATATTGGTGTTCTAATACAATGAGATATCTAGAACAGTAATATTTCTGACATTTCTCTAGCTAATGAACACATTGACAAACTGACATATTTATTTAAGAATGTTTATTTAAAAAGAGGAAAACTTTGAGATGCACCATTTCATTTCCATGGGGTTTTCTTTCTTATATTACAGGGATATCAGTATGTTAAGAGGTTTATTGTTTGGAAGCTAATCCCGACGAAGGATCTGCGAAAGAACAGGAAAAATGATTTTAGACAAATACTTGAATATACTGATAGATAGCATAACAATGATGGCCTTTTTTTAAAATTCAAATTTAGCAACTTTCTGTTGTAGCAGAAGTGTGGTAGCAACACTTTGTAGACATGTAAGATACTTACACAAGTGTAAGCCACCTCCAGCTACTTGTAAGTGCCGCCACAAGGGTCTTCAAACTCGGAATTGGTTGCACTGATAGTGCAGCGGTTTTTTCCATTGCAGCTGTGGATGGAGAGTGACATGAGTGAATAGACCCAGGAGCATATCAAATCTGATTTGTGTCAACCTCTTTATATATACAGTCTATCGTGTAAACCTAGGGGGATTTCATATAGGTTCAAACCAAATCACAGCCTTTCCATCAGCAAGTATCGTATGTCCCAATCATTTTTTGCAGATTGCTATTTTGCGTTATTAGCTAAGCCACTTCCAGGTACTTGTAAGTCTGGGGACAACCCCTTCCAAACATAGAGTGTGTTGCAATGATAGTACAGCTGTTTTATTCCATTGAAACTGTGGATATAGGGCAATGAGTAAATACACCCAGGAAAATATGAAATTTGATGTGTGTAAACCTAGAGATGTTTCTTATACTGCATAGGAAAATCCAAACACTCATATAACATCTGTCCTTGAAATGTTTGCAGATTGCTATTCCAATTGTAACCTTTTTCTAACTGACTGAGGTATAATAAGCATACAGTATTTATATATAGCCTATACAGCATTTCATAATCACTATAAGGTCGTCGAGAATCATAATACTACTAATTTATTTCATCACTCACATTTGCAAGGATCGTTAGTGTATTATTCCCAAAGTTACCATACCTAAAAACTATTTTTGAATGCATTATAACTAGAATCACAAACTGCTTTCAACAGATTATATGTACTGCATAGTCGTTTCTTGTAATGTGGAATGTTTTCCTTATAGCAAAGTCTCTGCAGCTTTACCTGTCTGCAACTAATGGCGCGTTTCCACTGCAGCGGGGTAGCCCCGTTTAAGCGTCCCTAAGCGTCCTCGCTCTGCCTCGCTGGCCGGCCCAGGCCGTGGCGCATTTCCATTACAGTTTAGGACCTGGGGTAGCAACGCAGTGTAGGCGGGGCGATCGGCTTTGTTTTTGTTCACATTTCGAGTTGTTCCGTCGAGCTCCCGCTGGATTTGATCATCCCCAATGAGATGTAGGAACGTCGTCACCTCCTCGGTCGACCACGGTGTGCTTTTCTTATTAGAAGTAGCCATTTTTGTAGCTCCTCCGTTTACAAAATGCTGTGTATAAAAATGCTGCAAGCTTGCTTCTAGATATATATGCGACGCTAGGGATGAACTCGCGCGCAATCTTGTGACGATTCTCTCTGACCAATCAGCAGTCGAGAGTGTTGACGTCACTAGTTCAGCCCTGGTCTGAGGCAGAGCCGTATAATAGAAGAGTTACGACAACGGAAGTCCAAAAACGGTTATCGTCACGTGGTTCATGTAGACGAGGATCGTTCCCCGGAAGTTCATGGCGGGCAATGTGAATGCATTGATAACAGGAGATAGAACTACGATTTTTGGTAATTATTAGTGAATAAAGGTTTTGATTTGCAATATGTATACAACAAATCGATATGTGTATGTATTTACATCAATATGTTTTAAAAAATAAAATAGAATTTGCTAATATTAAGTGATAATATTAGGATTAGTGTGAACAACTAGTTTACATGGTAGGCTAACAGTGCCTTGGTTAAAGAGCCTGTTGCTGTTTATTTATAGCTTTGAATTCTTCAAAACCAATATTATCTTCTTAAACTTGTATGGTAGTCAGGAGCATCACTTTCTAATGTTTATTGATATATTTAGAGGGAGGGGATCTAAAGTAATGCTTTAAAATTCAGATTAGATTAATGTCTACCATTTTCTTAAATTCATGGTAGTTTCAGTAATCCCATGGTAATTGAGGACACAAGTTATCTAAATGACTAATGTCATCTTTATGGCTTTCAGAAAGGACAGGAGACCGACAGGTGACTATCAAAGGACTAGCAGCAGCAGCATGATGATGATGTTAAATGTGTTGTTTTAGGAACATCCATTGCAAATACATGGAATTCAATAAACATTGAATAGCATGTCATGCAGTTTGTCTGTGCCTTTTCCTCCGTGTTGTCCTGGTTTGCTGTGCTGCCTCCTAGTCGCCACCATGGTTTGCTGTGCTGCCTGGGGATGCTCAAATCGCTCCGAGAAAGGAGTACGAATGTACGGCTTCCCCACTGACACAGAGTGGAGGAAAAAATGGCTGGCTCAAGTCAGCAGGAGCAATTTCACAACCAACAGCAAACAAATATGTGAGGTAATTATATACAAACACTGCATTTGCACTTTTTCACAAAACGAAAATCACACCATTGGGAAAGCTTAATGTTTTGTTTAATACAAAAAAACAGGGAAAGGCTTGAAAAACACAGAGTTGAGACTCAGGGTGCAGGGTGAGGGTCTCAGTGCAGGTATTCAGGCTCCATTGAAACCCCCTCTGGTTCTTGTGCTGAAAGAGGGATAAACAGACAGGAGAAAAGGTTATACACACCTATATAGCACACCTATTGGATGGGAAATTGCCTTGGGGAGATAAGGTGTGGTCTTTGTTCCCAACTGAAGTTATGGAACTTTATTATTTGTGAATTTAATAAAGTATGACAAATGGCATCAGTAACAGATGTGATATGAATTTCTATAAAGTTGTCTCACATTCTTGGTCATATTTTATATACAGTATGTAATGAGTATAACATGTCCAGTAAGTATAAAGTGTTTCCTAATACTGTGTATTCAACCACTATGGAATATGTATGTGGGCAGACAAAACTGAGTTGTTCTGTGTGTGAAGTAACCTCAAGTCACTCCGCAGGCACATTTTGATGCAGACCAGTTTGTCAAGACAAAAAAGGGCAAGACTAGGCTGAGAGCAGAGGCTATACCCACCATCTTCGTGCATCGCCCTGTGGTCAAAAAGAGAAGGGCCCCTGCACCACGATTCACCCCGGGACCTGTATCTACAAAGCCCATAGCTCATGATCACAGCTATAGTGTGAAAGGTGACACAGGTATAATAAGTATGAACTCTTAGTAACAAAAGTAATATTTCTTATTTTTAAGTGGTATAATATTTTAAATGTTCGAACATTTACAGTGCCATGTCTTCTACTTACATTAGTCTCAAAGATTGAGGGAAGAAGGGATGAGGAGACTGAGAGAAAGGAAAGTGAGGGTGAAGAAAGAGAGGACATGGCTAGTGAGGAGAGACAGGGAGGGCGGACACCACCCACTCAGCCAGCAGCCAGTCAGCATACGAGGGAACCAGCAGCCAGTCAGCATACGAGGGAACTAGCAGCCAGTCAGCATACGAGGGAACCAGCAGCCATTCAAACAGATCTATTACAACAATTAAAGAGAAAATTAAAGAGCCAAGAAGGAATCACCAAAAAAGCAAAGGCTGCACTAAGAAAAATCAGGAAGGAAAATGCAGCTCTCAAGAAAACAATGAAAATTAGGGACAAGAAATATAAGAAAACGTTTTCAAAAGACCAACTGAAGGCATTAGGCAGACTCACCACAAAGGGGATGAAATGGAGCAATGAGACAATTAAGAAGGCTTTAAAAATTTGCTTTGCGAGCGGACCAACGGGTTACAAAACTCTGCAGGAATTGAAGATTCCCCTTCCAGGAATAAGGACACTGCAAAGAAGGATGCAATGTGTTAAGTTTGAGCCTGGTGTGTTGACAGAGGTCTTTGATTTCCTAAAATTGAAGGCAGATACATTGACAGACCTTGAAAGGGAGTGTGTGTTGACCTTGGATGAAATGGCAATCACACCAAGTGTGGAGTTAGACATGATTACAGGCAAACTGTACGGTGATGTGACTTTACCAGGTCACACAGGGGTGGCAACACATGCTTGTGTGTTTATGTTGGCTGGAAACACAACACGGTGGAAGCAAGTAGTGGCATATCATTACACTGGCAATTCTACCAATGGAGCAGAGTACAGGCCAATCATTATCTTGAGATAATACAGAGGGCAGCATCCATAGGGCTACATGTGCTTGATGTCACCACCGACATGGGTAGCCCTAACCGAGCCATGTGGAAATCCTTTGGGGTGGACCAAAATAAAACATCGGTGCCACATCCAGCAAAACCAGACAGGCAGCTCTATTTCATGCCCGATGTCCCACATCTGGTAAAAAATTTTAAAAGTGCCCTTGTCCGTGGGCAGGTCTTCATAATTCCTGAGGATGTTGTTAACAGAGAGAACCTCCCCTCTAACGAGGTTTCTGTGGTCCCCATTAAGGACTTATTGACCTTTCAGGAAGGGATGGCCTTAAAAATAGCTCCCCATCTTTCAGCTGCAGCCATCGAGCCAAGTCACTTTGATAAGATGAAGGTTGGTCTTGCTCTAAATGTGTTCAGTAAGGCTACAAGTGCTGGGCTGAAATACATGGTGCAGCAAGAAAACCGCCCTCTGTCATACCTGACGACAGCGTGGTTCCTGGAGCAGGTTGATCGTTGGTTTGATCTGATGTCATCTCGCCATCCAATTACAGCCCTGAGCACGCTCAAGATGGAGGAGTACCAAAAGGCCATCACCTTCCTCCAGAACATCGTCCATCTGTTTCGTGGGATAAAGATAGGTCAAAAGGGAGGTTGGAAGCCTGTTCAAACAGGGGTGATAATGGCAACAACATCAATTTTGGCCATACAAGAGGAGATGCTTACACAAGGACACAGGTTTGTGTTAACGTCAAGGTTCACACAAGACTGCCTTGAAAATACATTCAGCTGTGTGAGGTCTAAAAATCCTGTCCCAACTCCAGTGGAATTCCATCATGCACTGAGAATCATATCTGTGGGGCAGTTCCTCACCACCATCAGCTCTGGGAGCTACCAGGAAGACCACAGTAGCTTTTTGGCAGACTTCCTGGACACAGGGGAGCCAAAAATCACTCCATCAGTCAGAGTGGAACAGCTGATGGCGGTGAACAGAGCAGCAGCACCTGACCTCACAAAAACTGAGAAATGTATTCTCTTCCATCTTGCAGGCTACATCGTCTACAAAATCATCAAGTTTGCCAGCATCTGTGAAAAATGCAAAATTGCAACAGAGCACCATGATGAGAGTCCTTCTGGTGACAACAGCTTGTTAGTGGACTTGAAAGACTTCAAGGCAGGTGCTCTTTGTCGTCCCTCCCAAGAAGCCTTTGACTTCATTCACCAAATTGAGGAACTATTTAGGACCAAGACTGGTTCCTCCCTCATGCAGCTCCCCAACGCAGTGGGTGTCTTGGAGAAAGAAGCTCAGGCCCTCTCCAGCAGGCTTCCGTCATGCTGTGGAGTACAACAAAAACTCGTAAAAAGATTTATACGGCTGAGGCTGAGAATTGAGGCAAAACAAATCAGAATTGACAGAAAAAAAATAAAATTAAAAGATGGCCATTTTGGAAACAAGAGCCAATCCAAAAAGGTGAAAAGGAACAACAGCAGCCAAGCTACCACATCCAGCAACCCCCAAACAGATCCACAGCTGCAATCATTTCCATTAGCCGTTGCAATGGAAATATTTGGACTAAACATTGCTCTTCCACCTGCCAGCACCCAGCTAACATCACTGCCCCTCCACCCGTAACATCACTGCCCCTCCACCTGCCAACATCACTGCCTCCACCTGCCAGCACCCAGCCAGAGGAGAGCAAACAACAAAAACAAGCAAGGTGTCCCGTCATGTACCTGGAAGTTTGGGTTGGCAAAATGGAGTAAGAGAGGGACTTGAAAAACCTTGGTGGCTCTCTACTCCTGTTGTTACAGTTGTCTTGGTTACAGCTCTCACGTGTTTTTTTGTTGCCATTTCCACATCTTTAGAAAATATGAAATAAAAAATGGAAGTGAAATCAACCTATTCTCTGGAGAACAAACTTTGATTTCTCTGTCTTGTGAGTTTGCAGTCTTGCTCCTCCAC